TTTGAATTTTCTCATTTTACCAACCTTGGAAGAACAAAAGGATGAAGTAAATGACGTCATCTAATCCAACATTTTTTGCCCAAATTATTAAGGATTTGTATYAAWRTYTTCTTRAAATCTGTKGCTTYATGRTTATTAGACCCATATGGATAGTTCTATTTGATTTCCAAGTTTCTAATGTTTCGCAATTTTCGTCCAAGTAGCCCTTTAAACAATCGGATCGAGTGCAGAGACTTGCATTTTATGTAAATGTATTATTTATATGAAATAGCGCCGCCTTAGTTCTTCAAGAATTGATGAAAAATGCCATGAGAATTACTTAACGCCTTGATCCCGTAAATATCAGAGAACTCCCTCAACGTCCGAGAAGTAAAAAAGTACCRTCATTTAAGATTTCATATTCTTGGTGTGCAAACACATGACCAGGAATCCCATGAGAAATAAAGAACAAGGCTATCGCYGCCATGTTGGGTGAGTGAACAAGACAAACTAATGAGGAGTGCTTTGTGAKTTTCATCCAACATGGTGGTGATGRCGTAACTTGCACACCAAGAATCTTCAAAATGATTAGGACAAAAAAAGTATTTTTTCATACCAGATAGACTTGAAAAACAGCAGAAATGTCTTTATAAAAATGCTAACATCAACATCATTKTCTTCAACAGTTGAATTTGAAAACCACACAAATGCAAAGGCTTTCATAGTTTCCTATGTTAGCTCGGCGTTATTTGCGGTATCAACTGTATGCTTCCTGGTCATTAATAAACAGTCGAGACGTTTGTGGAGCTTCTGGTGGCAAAATCTTGTTAATTGCTGTTGCCTTCMAGCGTTAGAAGAAAATAGAAGTTAAWCTTATATTGACATTTCACATCACATCCTCACATTTTYAATTTTAGATGCATTGCTCTYAAGGTGATATTCAGAAATCCGTAATTGTACGTAATTACGTCAAAATCATGTGGGGGATCAAGAAATTTTGAACTGTAGATGGCGATGTGGTTATGTCCTTCAAAGTAAACATTGCCTCGTAATGCTAAAATAATGGTAGTTTTTTTTGTCATTACCTGAAAGCGTTATCTAATGTACATCTATATTATTGCAAGTGATCAGGCCAGTTCGCTACCTATTTCCGTAGTATCGTACGAATTCCATATATGGATGTTAATATGCATACCTTTCATGTACAAGTAAAAGGCAATCGTGTCCCTATGTATTCAATTTTTATTTCCCTACACGTAAGTAGTATTAGCGGGGGAGCACGGACCCCCTTTTTTGTGGGATTTGTGGAAAAAATCTGTGTGCTCATGAATATTTGTGGGCTATTATATATAATCGTGTCCCTATGTATTCAATTTTTATTTCCCTACACGTATTTCACGTTATTCCTGAATACACCTTTTCAGTTGCACTTAGACATCGATAGCAAGTTAATTATTCTTTTGAATTTGACAAATGAGACTATTCATATCAATGTTTGCATTGCTCACATTCCTACAAATTCAAAAGAATATTTAACACGCTGTCGAAGCCTAAGAGCAACTGAAAAGGTGTATTAGGGAAAAACACTGACTTGTCCTCCAGCAGCAAATTTGAAGATCAAACAACCACAACAAACAAACAACCACAAAAAGTGTGGATTGGGTTAGTGTTCAAACTTTTAAAACCCGTTAATAAAAAAGAATCGTGTGACGTCGAGGATCGAACCTGCGCCCTTAAGTTCCCTAATGCGACGTGGGAAAAAATAACTCGAATAATAACTAAACTAGACGCATAGCTCGTGAAGGGATTCTGCTTGATGATTTGCTAGTGAATCATTTTATACTTTAGTTAAATTTCAGTACATCCATAAAATTTCTATATACTTTTGTCGTTTTTTTGAGTTTACTAGTCTTGCTAGTAAATAAATTTAAGTGGAACAAGGCTGAGTTTTCAGCTTTACAGCTAATAAGATCTGTGAATACTTCGACGAAATTGATGATATGAAACACTTAGCTTCTTTATTTTAATTGTTTATAATGGTAATTGAACTGAGTGGAGTGCAATTTGGTCTGAAATTAAACGCGCGATTACAAAGTGCGATTTGTAATTGCAAGTTTGATTTCAGACCAAAATTGCACGACACGAAGTTCAATTACCACTTAATTATATCCATTTTGAAATCCTAACAAAAAGAGACAGTCGTCGCTTTTTAAAACCGGAACCGGAAAGTCTTTTACATCTCATTTGCAATTCATAAACTGACAGGTCATGTCACTTCACTTCGAGGAAAACTACGAACTTAACAAATTTCAAACGAGCAGATTTTGTTCAACATTTTTGGACTGTAAATTACACTTTCGTCAGGATTTAGCAGTAGAAAATGATGAAAAATTACAGTGAGATAGTACATTGTCATCTAAAACTGTAAGTAAGAACTAAAATAATCCAATTTGCACATATTTTCATAAACATATTTGCTGTAAAACCTAAAAATGTACTTTTTGTGTGTCCTTTTTGCTGTAGTTTGATTGGTTAACCACACACAATCCTGTAATGTGATTGGTTGCCTTTTACTTGTTTTGCATTGTGATTGGCTCCTCAAAGGAGTGCGATTAAGAATTAAAMATGGTGCGATTTWKGMTGAAATCAACCTGCTAAGAACCAATCAGATTGCAGGATTCACTTTTGATTTCAAAATGGATGTAATTAACTTAGAAATCGTGTTGGTATGCTACTGCACTGTGCTCTCACGAGTACAATATATTCTAGTGTATAAATATTTCAAATAAACAATATTATCAGCAGGGGAGCTGTGGTTTTGCGCCAGAGCGAGGCAAAATAGGGCAACTTTGTTTACGCTACAAAAAATGGCAACATCCTACAAGCGGAGAGTGTTGTTTCTCCAGTTTTTGGAGGATAAACCTAGAGAAAGTATAAATCGAAATCACTTTAGTGATCAAACGGAGGATGTCCTAAGGAGTTTTCTCCAAGTTCAAACGAGTAAATTTGGTCGTTGTTACCGTAGAGAGAGCTCGTAGAGTTGGCATTCAATGCATTCCTGCTACGACTCGAAAATATTACAGTTAATACAGTTAGAAAATATAATAATAAGTAAAATAAAGTAATAAAGTAAAAATAAAGTAAAATAAAGTAGAATAAAGTAAAAAGGAAAAATACAAAGTCAGTGCTGGCTTCTGAGTTAGATTTATGCAAACATTTTAAGACATCATCAGATAGTAATACTTATGATGAATCCACACCATACATGTTTGACCCCCGCCCATCCTACATTAAAGCTTTGTCTTCGACAAGACAATCCCAGCTATCCACCATAGCACCCCCTTGTCAACATTATATACCCCTGCTGCACTGGAAATTGAAATTGAATCCACTGCATCTGGACCAACAGTAGAAGATATTTTTAGAAAGAGTCTTTATAGTGATTGTGAGAGAGACAATTTTGTTACCAACTACAAGCTTACTGAGGAGGAAAGAAGTGCCATTAATAATTCAACCACGTTCAACTACATTATTTTAAAACATGCATTCACGCTCACCGATATCGCGCGCTAACGTTGTTCTAGAAGAGAGTGCACAAAGGATATAACCATAGACCTTCATATTGAAATAGTTCTATTTCCTTGGTGCACGTCTTTGCAGTGTCTTTTCAGCACAGACTGGTTGATGTTTTCGCGGGATGTCTCCCCAACATATTTCTGGCCACATTCACCATACGTTATGTCGCAAGTTACTCCAAAGGCACTACATGGGCCTTGGCCTCCCGTACTACATACGAAGCAGTCCACTCGGTTACACTCTTTCTTCTTGAAGGGGTCTGACCTCTGGAGAATTTGTTTGATACTTTGTCCCGCTCTTTCGATCAACCAGTTTGATATTGCATAATGCTGGCGCGCTAATTAGACAGCTATGACTACATTTATGATTACAACAAGTATTTCATTAGCTCCACACACTGGTCTCACTGGACGGTCGGTAGATACGTACATTGAACGTAAAAGATGTAGCCAATGGTCGAATCTCACGGACAGAGAAAGAGAAGGGTTGAAATCGCTGAAGAAGAGATGTAAAGACGGTGATGTGGTGGTATACCGAACGGACAAGTCAGGGATATTTTCTGTGGATATGACAGCTAATTACATCACAGCTTGTGAACCTCATGTTGTAGATGATGAATTGATTACCAAGCAAGAATGTAAGAGACTAGAGTCGGYAATGAATGCTCATTCTACTGTGTGGACAAGGATTCTACAGGCAGGTAAAGACACAGGACATGTGGTGAGAATAAAGAACAACATGACTACATCCAACTCCTATATACTGCTTAAGGAAAGACCATAAAGTGACAGCAGATCCCAATGTTRGACCTCCAGTGAGACCAGTGTGTGGAGCTAATGTATCATATAACRAACACCTGTCACATTTGATGAGCATGATATTACAGGAAGTATGGAAGAGAGAACCAGACGTWTGTTTGAGCACGGAGGAATTGTTAGCAGGGATTCAAGAAGTAAACAGTAAGCGACGAGTAACAGTAAGTAAACAGTAACGCGACGAGAAGAAGAGAGAAAAACGAACGAGTTGGTACAAGAGAGGAATATATTCGAGTGTTATATTCATAACTGCAACACCTACCTCAGAGTTAAGAAAAATTCTAGAGGAAGACGTGAGGAAATCGGGAGTAGGCATAAAGATCGTGGAAAAGTCAGAGACGAATGTGAAGGGGGTGCTGCAAAGATCTAATCCGTTTAGGAAGAAAGTATGTGAGGAAGGTATGTCGGACTGGAGGTACTGGACCGTGTAGAACGCAAGGTATAACATACGAAATCGAATGCAAGTCATGTAAAGATAAATATATAGGTGAAACATCAAGAAACGCTTTTACAAGAGGAAGAGAGCATGTAAGAAGTGTCGACTCTAACACCAGGGAACATTCGATCTTAAAGAGACACTGCTCTRAAAAACACGGAGGTATCTTACAAGACTTTGTAATGAATGTCACAGGAACATACAATCAAGACCCAATGCTRCGACAGATAACAGAATCGGTGAGGATAAAGAGAGAAGGAAGATCTATGAACACCAAAACAGAGTGGAACACTGTCTTAATACCACGTGCTAATATCGAACTGTCGTATAAATACTTGTTGTAATCATAAATGTAGTCATAGCTGTCTAATTAAGGCGCGCTTTCAACAGGGCGCGCGCGATTAGTTTAAAAATCGTAGAAATCCAAACGTACAAATTGTAAACTTAAGGAATTGAAAAGGTCTAATCCTGGGACGAAACTAGTTTTCATGCTATATGTTAAACTGTTTTCGTTTTTAAAATCACCTCTTTCGACACACTACACCAAGACTTTGAATGAAGTTTCTTTGGCGTGACTGTGTTCTAAAGACTTCACGTATTGGGTTCAATCCTGTCCAGCATTATGAAATTGAAAAATTCTTTTCGAATTTTACAAATATCAAACAGTTCGATCTTGATGCATGAGTTACTGTATCGTTGTCAAAACCCGTTAATAAAAAAGAATCGTGTGACATCGAGGATCGAACCTGCGCCCTTAAGTTCCCTAATGCGACGTGGGAAAAAATAACTCGAATAATAACTAAACTAGACGAATAGCTGCATGAAGGGGTTCTGCTTGATGATTTGCTAGTGAATCATTTATACTTTAGTTAAATTTCAGTATATCCACAAAATTTGTATATACTTTTGTCGTTTTTTTAAGTTTACTAGTCTTGCTAGTGGAACAAGGCTGAGTTTTCAGCTTTACAAAGCTTTACAGCTAATAAGATCTGTGAATACTGGGACAAAAATAACACTATCATTTCCACCTTTCTTGTAACACGTTCTCTTCTTCTGCTCCTTCTCTCTATCTTCCTAAACTCCTTGGGGCGGTACATAGGTCTTGCACCATGTGCATCGATTGTCTTTATTTTGTTATAGGGAGAGAGAGCTGACATCACAACGCTGTTTCTAAACCTCTGGTCGTATCATTATTATATCCTTCTCATCATATGCTTGACATGCTCCACTACACGGTGCCACGGTAAATCTGGGCTACAATTAAGTATTACTCTTAACACTTCTTGAGTCAGCACAGTTCTTTTCAAAATCAAATGTACAAGAGAGGACCAACCTTGTGGTACACCACCAACAAGAGGGAGGGAATGGGACTTGACACCATCAACGGAGACAAATTGAAACAGTTTA